TGAACATATGCATATATTTATATCATACTGGTACATGGAACATGGAACAACAAAGCGATTATACTTATCAAATTCACCAATAATTTTTATTTTTCTATACGTGTGATTCGTTCGTACGTTTTGTCAGTTACACAGGTAATCACAAAGTAAACAAGTTTACCGTTCGTAAAACAGATATCCGTTCGTTACGTGTTTGGTGTTCTCTACTGGGAGAAAATATCCCATTTGAGATATTTTCTCCCATGAGAGAATGGTGGGATAGTTGGTGGGACTGAAAATCCCACCATTCCCCCATGGGATTCTGAATTTAAGAACTTCATATCCTTAGAAGTGGAGATCTTTGTGACCTCAACGTAAAACCCTGGGATACTGCTTAGCAATCCCACCAAGTTATATAAAAATATTTTTGATATCACGATAAAAAATGGTAATAAAAAATCTGGACTACGTCGTGTCCAGAGTAAAATATCGTACTGTTATAACATGTTTATGTTACGAGACGCTTATATAGAGTTGAATAAAATTAATCACAACTTTTTCAATTATGCTTACAGAAATCTGATTCCACTCCTAACACGACATCATTTCTTTATAATAAATTATGCATCTGATATTAATAGTGCTTGATACTGCCATTTAAAGTCTTAAGAATTTTTTGTCAAGTATTTGTTTAGTATCTACACATATAGCGTAAGATAAGAGGCAAATACACTTCTTTTGATATAACCTTTTTGCACTGTTACTGTCTTCATCAGAAATAACATCTTCGAAGTTTCCCTATAACTTATGATTTATGCGCCAGCATTTTATTTAATAGATTTTAGACTTGCCATTTTAACTATTGATTCAGCATTGTAAGACCGATATTAGATCATCATTATTCTATTCTGTTTTAATTTTTAGCATTTTATTGAAGAAAAAATAATTTCAAAAACTATTTGCAAGAAAAAAAAAGTTTTATAATTAATAGTTTTCTGTCAATGAATGCATAATATGAATGTTTTAACAATATGTCAAAAAAGGCTGGAAGTAACATTACAAAAAAATATCTTAATTTTCGCAAAATCATTTCAATTTTTTTAAATTGAAAGGGGTGTATTTTAAAATTATCTTTGCAATAAAAACCCATTCTCTCGATGCATTGGGGTATATAAGGTCAATGGTTGCTTTTTCATAATATTAAATTCAATCATTTAACTTTTTTTTCTAAAAAAAAAAAAACAAGAATCCGTTTTTATTGTCTTTATTTTATGGTTCACTTACGAAAGGATTAACCCTTAAGACTTTATCTCGTGGTTTAAACAAAATCAGGTTTAAATTTCAATTCATGCATTTTATAACGTTAATAAATTTAAAAGCGCATACTCTGAATTATAAAAAAAATACCAAGTAATTGTTAGATCTCGTGATTTATACCTTTCAACTGCACCGATTCTGTATGATTAAGAATTTAACTAGATTAAAGAACTTAGTGCATTTTAATGTTTTCGATAAAAAACTGTAAAGGATTAAATGATAACCTAGAAAAAATTATTGGGTTTATAATTTAACAATTTAAACAGATTCCCATTGATTTAAAGAATAACGCATCGAATTTTTTCTATTTAAATTTACAGGTATCAGTTACAAAAAGTTTAATAAACACATCAGTTACAAATAATATAGGACCGTTCTTAACTCGGAGAGGATATTGAATAATCTTACCCAAAAATGGACACACAAACAAAATAAAACGAAAGGTTACAAACCCTCAGAAAAATGAAGATCAATGTTTTCTTTTTTTAAATAAGCATTATTATTATTAATTCAAGGAGGAATGCCGCACCAAAATTTTCTTTTATAGATCTTTAGGAAATACCTCTTAGCTTCTGGTTTCAGCACTGAAAGGCCGATATTAGCGCTGAATTATTTTTATTTGACCTTTTAGCATGTTTTCAGAGAATGTGAAAAAATGATTTATTTGCATATAAGATGCCTCTAAGTGAAAAAATGCTGTTTATAAATTCATCATATGAATATCTAATATCTAATAAACTATGTAAAGAATAGCCATATATATATTTAAATATTTTTTTTAAAAAATATATTGATGAAAACAAAAACACATTTTTGTGAATATTTTCAAAATTATGGTCAATATCAATTAACTATTGAGAACGTGTTAGTCAATCATATTTTTAAGAGAAATTGAAATGAAATTGCAAACTTTAAGAGAAATTATATTATTTAGATTTTGGCCAACCAAATTCAGCTGATTGCAACTATATGGAACTCCAAAATTATGGAAAATTTACCAAAGAAACCTTGTTTAATTTTGTGTGATATAAGTTAAAATGTATCGGAACTTTACAATCAAGTAGATTTCTTGGTGGTAAATATCTTTAAAAACGCATAAAATTATTATTTTATTCATTTTGTGTTAATTTGTTCGCCATCAATTTAATTTTGATCAGATAAGTTCCAAATATTAAAAAAATAATTTTTCCAGCATTTCGCAATTTCATGTCAATTTCTTTTTAAAAATTGAAAGAATAACATGTTCTTTATAGCTGTTACTACTTTAATGACGATATAACTAGTAGTCTAAAAATATTCACAAAATTGTTGTTAATATTGAAATATAATTTTTTATTAAAAAATATAAATATGTATCCAACCTTTTTTTGCATATTACATTGAACATTCATGTAAAAAATGTATAAAAAAAATCTTATAAAATATTTAAGAGTAAATATAAGATTTCAAATGCTACAACCTTAGATAAAGGGGATTTCTGAAAAATCTATTAAATAAAATGTTGGTGTTGCGTTTGACCTTAATTGTATCGTTTCCTTTTTACAAACATGCATGAAATTGTTTCTCTTTTCTATCAAAAATCTTCCAGAAAAATAAGAAAGAGAAAAACCAACAAAAATGAAACAGTTAAGATGGTAAAGACATCTAAACTTGACCGTTTGAAGCAAATTTGTTTTCAGACGTGTGCATCTGAATGTTGGACGTCAAAGATTTGAGAATTGGGGAAAAACTTTAAAAATCATGACAGTGACGAAGCATTGTTTTTTGAAAAAGTAAGAGGGTGATGATGCGGCCAGAGGAAAAAAAAACTTACCTGAAGAAGTTTACAAGCCACAAAATTATAATAAAAAAGAACATTTACCCAGAGTCGAAAATCATATTTCATGGTATGGAGGAGAGATATGTGTGTAGAGGCTAACTTTTTTTCTATGCAAACTTTTTTCAGTGCCAATTTTTATCTCTACTAGTCAGAGACCAGAAGACCATATGCGAAAGTAAGGTGTCCCTCCTAAATAATAGATAAAATAGTGCATCGGTTTTTTTATTTCGATGAACAGTGTTGCCATTGTGACTAAAAGTAGAAATGTCTGTGAAATTCCTTTGAAACGCTACTCCTTCTACACTTTTGGTCTGATGGCAATGGCTTATTTTCTCATCCTTTGTTATAAGTACAAACCAGTAGAGCTACAGTCTCGACAGAGACTTCTGGTTTGTACATACAATACTATATTTCCCTTAAATCACAAAAGTTGGGGCGTCCAGCCAGTCTATCAAAAAACATTTCCTAAGGTAATGTTGGAAAAAAAAAGTAGGGGCCACCCCCTCCCCCCCTTTTTGCTACGTGCCGGTATGAGTTTTAAGTCAATTGTGTGTAGGGGTTTAAAAGATAATGAATTAAATCCTTAATTGGAGAATTTTTATTACATTTAACTTCTCGAGAATATTAAGGTATACGGTCTTCATCTTCAACTAAATTAACATCATTAGCAATGGTGTGTCCAGTAGGACTGTTTTTGAAAGAAAATGTAAAAAGAAAACACTTTTAAAAATCTTGCTCTAGATGTTCAATATCTTGATATTGTAAGATTTCTTTAATATTGAAAAGTTTGGAAGCAAAAGTTTACGAAAATTTATAGGAAATACAGAGTTAAAATTTAAATCTGAAAAATGAAAGCAAAAATCTAAAGAAAATTACTTATTGCGTTAAATTGTATTCAATCCTCTGATTGAATTATCTAAAGACATACATTTATACAAAAATTTCAGGGGAAAGGCTAATTTATTAGGGAATACTTCAAAAAAGTTATTTGCGATTCAATGGGAAATTTAAAAAAAATAAGCAATTTTCTAAATGCATTAGAGTATAAAATGTCAATGGTTGCTTTATCATGATAAAGATCTTTTCATTCTAATAAATGCGAATTTTATAAACTTTTCTCAAAAAAGAAGGAAAAAAAACCTCGCTAAATCGTTTATCATCTTTATGTTATGGTCCATTTACGAGAGGTTTTACCTGAAGACTTTATCTAGTGGTTTACATAAAATCAAGTTCTAATAATTATTCATTCATTTTATATTTTTTAAACATTTATAAGCACAAAAACTTAATTTTTAAAAAAAGAACTAATTTATTCTTAGATTTTATGATTTCAAACTGAGGTGATCCAGTATAAGGAATACAGCTGGATTAAAAGAACTTAAAGGCAATTCCTATTTAAATATTGATTTGTTATAATCATACTTTAACCCTTTCTCTTCCGGCGCATTTTACGTGATTTTGGAGGTCTTTTGACATGACATTATTAAATTATTTCTAACTTTTTTATCCAAGGGGAAAGCTAGGCATAATGCATACCATTTTGTAGGAAATTTCTTACAGATGATTTTTTATGACTGTTTAGATACTCAACCACTGACCTTATTAGTAAAAATTGAGGTCAAAGGTCAATTAAGTGCAAAATTTTATGGAATTTTTTGATACTTTTTCATCTTTAAACTAAATATTAAGTATGATGTATGTTGAAATAGGAAATTTGGGATATACCCACAAAAGAGCATTATACTGTACTACATGAAACACATAAACTTTTTTTTCAATTCTGCATATAATTACTTAAAAGGGGTTGCTAAGGAACGCAGAATTCTTTAATTTTCGGGCAGAAATTTTCATTTTTTACTCATCCTAGACACATTTATGCATCCCAGCAGATATAAAAGTTAAATGTGAGGTCATAAAATTATAAGGGACATACAACAGATAAATTGTCATAAAGTTTGACCTCATTAGAACTATTTTTAGGAGGTCAAAGGTCAAATTAGTGCAAAAGTTTCATCAATTTTTTTCAACACTTTTCAATATTCTTGCCATAATTTTACACAATGGATGCTGACATGGAAAATTCTGAATATACTCTCAAGAAGGGATCAGAACTGCAATATCCATGCATCATTTTAGTTCAAATATCTGTTTAATGACCTTTAAGTGGTTGCTAAGCAACATCATTTTAAAGTTTTTGGCTATATACATGTTTGTTATTTCACATTCTGGACAAATTCTAGACACTTTTTGTATATTTCATGATATTGCTTGTAAGATATGGGCCATAAAGATGAAAGAACATTTTTGTATTAAAAATTGACCTTGACACTCTTGTTCTTCAGGGGGTCAAGGTCATATCAGTACAGAATTCTGCTTTAAACTGTAAGTAAATATCAATTTTGAAATGCTTCAAACATGGATAAATCATCTAATAGTTGACGTAATAAAAATGGCGAATGACAAAGTTTGCAAGCAAAGAATTCTGGTCTGCTTCTTACAAAGCCCTAGCAAAACATGTATACTATCTTTTTGTTAAACAAGAAATCCATTCTCTTGATGACATTAAAAATAATCTTTATTTTCATGGATTTAATTTAACAAGAAAAAAAAAACTAAATGATTTCATTGCAAGTTTTTCTGGTATAACAGAGCTTAAGGGGTACAATAAAGACTTGACATGTTATCTTGGAGGGAAATAATAATAGATAGCATTGGCAATATTTAATGCAAAACTGTTTAGTCAATAAGTTGAAAATTTGACGCTTATATCCAAATATACAAATACAGAAATATTGCAAGATGAATTCCAAATCAGATTGAAATCTTCAACAAAATGTTGAAGAGCACTTTTACTTTGTGTCCACCATTCTTTTATCAACTGTCATTTCTCTGTAAGACCGGAGGAAATTCTTTGACTTGTCCAAGACATTATTATTTGCTGTCAAGTACAAGTGATCAGCTTCTATCCTGTAAAAGATTTAAGTATTTTGAAACAGATACATGTCATTGTATATATAAATTTATATTTATAAATAAAATTAAGAATGCTAAAATTACTACGTTTATTTGATTTTCCTTTTAGAATTAAAATTGTATTCATTATGTGATCCAAGTAGTTAAATGATATTGTTAAGTCAATTTAATGTATCAGGACTGATAATTTAACAACTTGTAGTAAACCATCATGGTAAAATTACTGAACTAAAACAAATAGCATATATGGCAATCTGACTAAAGCCTGACCTCTGTTTACGCTATCGCAACATGTAAAAAAAATCTGGCATTAGATTGCTACGAAGGCCAGGAAGGGACACGTAAATTTTTCAAAAAAGTAAAAGATGATATCAAATCGAATTAGACAATCTAATCCCAAGGATTACTAAATTGTTCCCTTGATTTATAATATGAGATCTCCAATTACACAATCCGATCTTAAGGATTACTAATTCGCCCTCTTGATTCATAATTTGAGATCTTGAATTACATACTGGTAATTTGTTTTCACAGATTGATAATTCAACATCTTGATTTGTTACAACGTCAGTCTTATGATTTTGGAAATCTGTGCTCTTGAATTTCATTACATATATTTACAGAAACATCCAACCATTTTAATCAATAAGTGCGTTCTATCTATTTTGTTTCAGCAACCGGTCGTTTCCAACCTCTTTCATAACTAATTCAACGTATATTTATTTTAGAAATATTATGATTACACAGGACCCATATTCACTTTTACTACATGTATCTAGGACTTTCAATTATTCTACAAGTAACACAAAAACTTGTAAGATTTTTTGTTGTACAAATATCAGTACTAGCACATGGATTTGAAAATGTTCATGTATTTTTCTCATTTTGGACCGTAATATGTAAATAATAAAAGTTAGGATGTAAAATACTACAATATTTTATTTTTTAAACATGTACCGGTATTACCATATCCGATATGTACAGATAAATAATTTAAACGAAATCATGGGAAGGGTTTACATTCCGAGGGAATGAATCATTTAAACTAAAAGAATGAATTATACAATCTGAGATAACGGACTGTGTAATTTGAGGGAACGAATTGGTAATCTGTGAGAATGAATTTGCAATTTGTTATAACATATTGTCAATCCGATAGAATGGATTGTATAAATCAAGAACTCGGTTTACTTTTATAAATTTTAAAAATTCTATGTCCCTTCATGGCTTTCATAGATTTCATACCTGCATGGCTGCCAGGGTTGTAAAAAGAAAGGAGACAATAGACTGCAATGTTACTTCAGGGCAAAATTCCTGGCGCAAGGCTGTTCGTGATCATGGGAGTGTTGATAAACCATCCAGGGAGTTTGACCACCCATGTATATGATGTAGGATAATTGGAAAGTGTCTGAAAAATTTAGAAAATGGAAATTCTAACCACATACTTTATGCAGATTGGAAATACAACAGCAGTCTATAAAAACAGTTTGTTCCATATCTCAGCATTCATTCAGATAGATATTACATGTTTAAATCATGTTATATAATACGTCTGTATGAATAATCAAGCATCATAAGTATTATGTGTTTCATACACTTATTTTTCAAAATATAAATCAAATGTTTATAAACTTGTATGAATGCGATATCATGAGAATGACACAAATGAAATTAGATTTTATTTTTTTAAATTTTAGAAATACAGAAATTTTCAATACCAAAATAAAAATTTACCTGTTCATTGGTGTCCTTACATATTAATTGACCTTCCGCTCGTAGTTCATGGTGGGCTTAGAAAGTGGGTATTCACAGATGAAAGTATTGTTGCATATGCTGAAAGCACCCTAAAATTTCAATGTGAAAGTGGTACATGTACACCTATACACACTGGTACATAGATACTAAAAACAACTATCCATTATTATGACAACTTTGATTTTACTTTGAACTTACGAGTGATTGTCAAAAGCATCAAAGTTCAAAAGCAATGCAAAATTGGCTGAACGATACGAAACACGCACACTGAAACATAAAGATCTAGTACATGTGTACATTTAGTTTTCTTTTGAACGTGAACTAATGCGTTTTAAACTTAAACTTTTCAGTCAATATACACATATTCTCACCTGCTAATACCAAAGGCATATCCGTATTATTTGATGTGATGATCTTCGTCGTGAAATAATCATGAAAATTGACGTTCAGATTTCGGATCACCATGACCATCATGTTTACACCAAAGCGGAAACACGTGTTTATTTCAATTCGTATCAACTCATACAGTATTGAGTCGTATTTATTTATAAATGCGAGTTTTTGTATTGTTAAATATAGATCTAATTTAATTGCAAATTAATAAGTATACAGTATAACAAGATACAACAATATTAAAAATCTGATTGATTTTTTTTTTTAGTAAAGATCGACGTTTTGGAAATCTACAATTTTTATCAATATTGTATATCGCTTCATGAAATATACATCATTGCATGTAGATGAATAAATCAACATTCACTTCACAAAAGGCAGAACGAAAGTATATATTTGTTTTTTGAAATCTATTTTTTTTTTTTGTATTATGCATTTATTTCAGTAAAAAATATATTTGAATGGTCAAAAAAGTCTTATAAAAGAATTTGTTGTTTCGAGTAAGACGCAACAATATCGACCTTGACGTTACATGTAAAATTGACCGATTTTTCCATAAAAACTATGCAAAGGTCACAAATTCAAATTATCGTAATTAAGAAAATACTGAGTGTAAGAAGGCATATAAGGGCTTGTTGGAAAGGAAATTTTCTCTACTATTACCAGCTTTATTTTGTTTTCCCTATTTCAACACAGAAATAAACGTAAAACTGAGCTTTGTTTAAATATTACGAATAAAATTGATAAAAAACACATAAGTGCAAAAAAATTCTTGTTTTTAAAATATATATTAAAGTAATAACAATAATTTTTACATATTTTAAAAGTAGAGAAAATATTCTTTAAGAATATACCATGCTTTTTTATAAAGTTAATCAGGAAAAAAATTGTCAATCGTCTGGAAATTCGGCAATCGCTTTGGAAAATTACGCCATTTTCAAAAAGTCTCGTTTGTCTTTACAACGTAAAATCGATTAAATACCGGCAATCAAGATATAATCTTTTTAGATATTTTAAAAGTAGATAAAATTTCCAAAAAGATGATATATAGGTTATATACCTTCATGCTACCACAAAATAGATACGGAGATCTTATTTTCGCGAAGTCGTGTTTTAACGCGCCACCGGTCAATTTGACCGGTACGGAAGTGAAGGGGTTAAAGGATCAAAGATCAATTTGTACGTAAGGAAAAAGTGTATATAATTTGGGAAACATTTATTCATTAAATTCATTTCCAAGAATATTGTATAACCGATTTCATTTGTTGTTGTTTTTGTTTAAATTTACAGGCGACAGTCACAAAAAAGGAAATGAATGCATGCATTAAGAATAGCAGGGCCTTTATTACCAAAGAGATGATATTGAAAAAAAGATTAAAGTAACAGAATACGTCAAAATCACGTATTTCTTTTACGATATCTGTAGCATACATAGAAAAGACTTATGAAAATTATGACAATACAGCTATGATATGACAATTGAACTGCAAGAAAAAACTGCACACTATAAGTGCCGGTGTAAAGACGAATAATGTCCCTCATCGAATTATGAGACAGCATTTGACAAATATTCATATTAAATATTTAGCTTTTTTGTGCTAAAGGTAACCGACAAAATAATGAACTTATTGCATGTTGAAAACCTTATTGATCGAAAAAAAAATATTATACCTTTTTTTATGTTCAATATTCCTCTCAATTTTTCACTTCTCACATGTTGGTCTCATCTACTTCTCGCCAGGAAAGCTGTTCAGACTTTTCCGGATATGACGTTTATCTCCGATTTGTTCCAATTTATGTTAATGAGGGTAGGAGGTATGTGATGCTGGACAGACTCAGATAACTCAGACCACGTAACATTGAGTTATTTGAACACTAGTGAATCGGCAAACCTGAGATGGTGTTACACGATAAATTAAGGTCCAGACTATTTGATATCATTGAAATCAGCATACAAGAACTCTAAAGTTGACATCAAAAAGATGCTTGAGTTTCTTATAGACAATATCTATATGGTTTTTGGAGACCAGGTCTTCCAGCAATATTTTTGAATCCCAATGGGTACCAATTACGTTTCCTTATTAGCAGACCTATTTTTTGTATTCATATGAAGCAGAAATTGGGCTAAATTTTATGCGTGAAAAAAGAAAAAACATTTGCTTTGGGATTCAACTCGACATTTCGATATATCGACGACATAATTTCAATTAACAATGGTAATTTCCATTCCTATGTCCATACGATATATCCTGGTGAACTTGAGATAAATATACCACAGAGTCTGACACATCTGCTTCATACTTGGATATTTTACCAGAAAAGGACATAAATAGTAATCTAACAACAAAGCTCTATGATAAACGTGATGCCTTTAACTTTTCTATCGTCAACTTCCCTTACTTATGCAACAATATACCTTCATCTCCTACATACGGAGTTTATATATCTCAGATGATTCGATACGCAAGAGCATGCTCTACCTATAAACAATTTCTAAAAGGAGGTATATTATTGACAAACAAATTGATGAAACAAGAATTTCGTAAGTCCTATGGTCGATACAATGACCTTGTCAGCAAATACAATTTCTCATTGAGTCAAATGCTGACTGACATTTTTCAGACTAATTGTTATTCCATTATTGACACACTGAATTGACGATGGATTTTTTCGTTATTTCCCGATTATGACAAGGAGCACACGGCTGGTGTGACCGGTCGGCATGGGATGCTCACTCCTCCTCGCACCTGATTCCACCTATAATGTTTTGGAGCTCTGTGTTTGTTCTGCTCCTATTTTGTATCGCTTTATGGACTTTGATCTTGAATTCTGTTCGTTATCTCCATATCCTTCATAACAACTGAAATAGGTCGGAGACTAAACACCAATACAATCATCTATTTTTGTTCGTATCACCTGTCCTCAAAGGAGAATAAGAATTCTTAACACTTTAGAAAAGAATAAATGCGACATTTGCAATTGAAATATCTTCAAAAATACGTGTAATTATACAATTCAGGTATCCATTCGATTTACATTAATGCAGTATGAAGATTATCATATCCCTATCCAATGTGGATAAAAATAATCCTTATAATTTGAGTTGAATTCATTACGGAATTCAGATCCTTCTCTTGCGGGCCTTTTATAGTAAGACACCTTCCCTTTATTGAACCAAGAGGCCCACCAGCTGTACGTACCCACAGATGATATCACGTGATCACACGAGGCCATAAAAGCCATATCAACTTTTGGAATATTCCCTTGTACAAATTCTACCCTGTAGTTCTTAGGAATATTTTCCTTTGACAACTCAAAGTCATTGGAGCAAACAATGTAAAGAAGATTAGAATAGCTATTGAAAAGTTTCATAGCTTTCTCAAAGTATTCCTTGGTTGCAACTTTATAGGCCAGTAGAAGCATGGCTTAAGTTGTCACCTCGTCTAATGTGGATTGCAATTAATGTCACATTTTTTCAAGTTGTGTTGAATTTCTCAACGATACCATTAATAATATGATCAACTTTGTTTTTTAAATGATCTCGTATTTTAAACTGTTCTCGTAATTCTCTTGAATCATTATGAAAATATTTCCATGACTGTAAATAATCTCCAACTCTAAATGTTTCATTTGGTGTTAAGTTTACTAGACGGTCATCGTATATACATATACGGCGCTCAATTCGAGCTTTTGCATTGATACATTCTTCTTTCTCTTTACTGATCAAAAGGTATTTACTATTTTTCATTTCAAACATCTTGTATACTGTGTCATTTTCTCCTATCACAACTTTCAAACCCATGGAGACAGCGATTCCAAATCCTGACGCAAACTGGAATAAATTATTGCCAAGTCTACCCTTAAATGTTGGACACACATACATTCCAGAAAATGAATTTGTTTTAGATACGTTTTGGTAGATTGTCATGCTAGGTGATACAGAAGCAGTGTTTGACAATGTAGAAACCTCTGTGGTAACATCTGATAACACCGCCATTGTGGTATTTGGATTGGTAAGCTTCATGTGGATTGATGGGATATAATTCACCATTTCCTTTTTTAGAGAGTTTAATATGAACAAGTTGAGGAACAGCACTGTGGCGACAATTACCCACCGTCTTGCATTCACATACACTGGAATTAAAATGTTACTAAAAATTAATCTGTCTGATCAAAATAATTTGAATTGCTATTGATACGTTATGAATGATTTTAATTTAGCTTATTTTTTTAGAATATAAAATACCTATTTCTTCTTTTTAAAAAAGGGAGAAATATTTCAATTTTTTGGAGATATACAAGTACATGTTTATAGGCAAGAACAAATAGACATGTTACAAAAAAATCACCCACATCTTCGAAAACGTACGGAAAATAAGTTTCTCATATCGACTTCAGAATTCTTTTTAGATCTGAAAAAGAAAGAACAGAGTCAATTATAATCTACTTTTAACTTACAACAAAAATATTTTTTTTAATTTTTCAATTGACAAAATAATTATGGTTCTCCTACTGAAAAGTCAAAGCTTCCGTTAGGATATTCCAAACTGTCAATTTAAACATGTACTTATATATTTTCCTGCAGAAGAAAACTATGAAATATTGCAGAATTGGCGATATCCTGCTTTATTTAATGCGGAACGCCAAATAATGATGCAGTACGAAAATAAGACAGATATGATATATTCCATTTTATGCAAATACACGGCTTATTTATTTTCTATACATTTCATTGTTTACACAGAATTTTTAAAAGTTTGTCAAAGAAGTTTCCCGTTCGCTGCTCCGTGACGACCTCCGACGTCATGGGTTTTTGCCTTTTTTAATCAAGTTCACGTGTATTTAGAAGCTGATATCTTTTAAACTGACAAGAATATTATAAGGAGTACAGCTTAATTTAAACGTGTAAATTTCGTTTTGTTTCAGCTCCATTTATTAGAGGTATGGCTATAAATACTTATACCCCGGTAGAGTTAACATAAGAATTTACAGTACTGTAATCAATTTTGGCGTTTCTCCATGACCCAATTATGCTGTTCTCAATCTTTGATAAATTTTATAAATAGGAAGATATATTACAATATATAAACATAGCAATTGCCAAAAAATGAAAAGAGAAGAAAAAAATACGTTATTTTGGTTACGGATGTTTTTTCAAAGTATGGAAAATAATTTGAACAAATAAACATTGAAGTTACTATGGGGGTAAGGTATTGATTACTAAACATTATTTTTATATTCATTTAATTATATTTAAATTTTGAAAATGTCTCAAAAGAATTTAAAGATACAGTGAAAAAAAAATTAAAATTGTTAACATTTTAGTGTTTCAAAACAGAAAGAACTTCAAAATTAAAAGAGTAGTTTATGATGTTATTTGTTATGCTCTTTTTGTAGTCGAGGGGTTAGGTTCGATTCTCAGTCCCTACTTCCGTTTCGACCTAAGACGTGAAAGATGGTAGTGTATGTTCTTTGACTAAACATTAGACAATAAAAGTGAAAGCTTAAAAGTGTTACTGTCGATGAGTGCTATTGTTGATATTGGCAATTCCAATAATCCTAAGTGCTGAGCATAGGTTTAAATTTGAAGCTTTTTATTGGTTTATTTTTGTTGTAGTTTATTTTTAATGGGGAAATTGGAAGAAGATATCGAATATGAAAACAATATTTATATCAAAATGAAAATGCATTGTAATTGTTACTTTATTGTTTGCGTCTTTATACAATAGAGTAGTATAGTAGTAATATATTTCTTTCTTAATACAGAACTCTGTTATTTAATGGCATTTAGTTTGTATTCGACCATTTCTGAATTAAGAACATAGCGTTGTAAAAATATTTATGTCAAATATTGTTCAAAGGGATTGTTCAGAGTTGATGAATGTTAAATCGCGTTTCCACACAATTAAGTTTAGATTCTGTAGAAACTATTAGAAAATATGAGCCTTAGAAGAAGACAGTGGGTATTTTCGGTGATTTTTAAAAGTCTTCAATCATATTTTTATTAATAAAAAGATTCGAAAAAGTATATATTGAGATTTGTTTTTTTTTCTTCTGTAAATTACATAAAAAACATACGCATTTTTAGGGAAAATATTAAATCTTTCGAATTTTATTTTCTCAATTTTAAAGGTAATATTGTAAACTTTTTCAATAGTAAATCTGTTTTGATGAAACACAATTATGTTTGCAACTTGATATTTACAGACTTGGAGACCGTACAAAAGATACATTTTATTTTTTCTATCATTTGATAGAAACGGTAAACATGCAGTTTTTTTTTTAATTTATCATTTAAAATGCTTATTTAAAACAAAAAAATCTGAATAGAATAAACCTACCCTTGTTGAGAGCTCCTTACCGAAAATGAAATTGTCTAAGCGCTACTGCTTAATATGTGGGAAAAACATCGTTTAATCAAAGTACTGAAAGTATTGTTACGAATTGATGGTGTTGTTTGTTTGGATGTTCCCTCTCGAGAATTGTTCACTCATATCATATGAAAAAAAAAGCACGTGCTTGTGGAGAGCTCAAATTTTGTCCTATACTCGAAATACTCGATGGCTGTAAGTGCCATCACTTACAGCAAAATAGGACCTTGGTTTAAACGGTCTGATCTGAAGGACCGGTCTCCATGTCCCACAGCTTCAGCTTAGTGAGCATCACAAGGATCGACTCCTGTCAGCGAAGGCTTGCAACAATAAATTGTTTGTATTGAGATTTGTGACTAACCACTTAGAGACAGACCACAGAGGATAATTTTTACTTTATTTTGGCAATATTATAAAAATTTTGTATGAGGAGAAGACTATCTAAGTTGTTCCAGAACTTGTGTCTTATCCTTTTGGCTTTAATTGTCAATAAAATATGTTCAATTCAGAGGATAGTCAACCCTTACAGGTTTGTTTGTTATATTTCTAGACACAGTGAATGTAAGTCTCTGAAAGCACTGGATGTCTGGACGTCCTGAATAAGGACAATTCAGTATCTTCTGATATCAAAGGCTTGCTACTAGCAAAATAGGACTGCACGTGACTCAATCAACGAGCCTAAAAAAAGCATTGCTGGTGTTGGTCCGTTGTCATTTGTGAACCCTCTGTTTTCTTTTAAGGCTGACCTTCAAATGTGATTTTACCCTAATTTAAGAGAGGGCCATATCTGTATATATTAGCAGTCCAATCATTTAACCAATCATTTTAAAAGGAAAAATATTTATCCGAACCCGAAATTATTGAATCAACCAAGTAAGGTCCCCTCAATACGTTTAACAACAAAATAACAATTTTGCTATTTTAAAATCTATCAAAACATAAAATAAACTGACACAAGTAAAATGATTGTTTTCACTAAAATAGACGTTAACGCTTCAAGGGAGGATAGAACTGGAAAGATATCTAGCATTTGTGAAGTGTAGCAGAGAAAGCCTTGAGGGATTGAAACTTTTTTTTGATATTGAATATGTATTACGTAATTTTATTTCTTATTAATAGATGATATGTTGCATTTTTTATTGAACGACCCTTGCACAATTACACATCGACTTACTTCCGAACTTTTTAATTACAAAAAAACTTTACATGGCCTAGATATTGAGTATCTGAAACATAAACCTCGATAATCGTGTTCATGTTCTTCTTCACTCTATAACTATAATCCTGCTGGACAGGTTTTTACAGGTGTCGTAAATATCATTGATAATGAGGACCTTAGATCACTTATCTTAAAAGACCCTAAATATAGGAAAACCCGATCCTTCAACTGGCGTCACAATTTTATAAATATTATGAATCATGTTGAAGATTCACCAGGCGATGGGCTAGCTGTGATAGATTAGACGTCGATACTTTGTCGAGCGCTTTATTAAAGTTTATAATGAAGTGATAATCTTATATTATTACGTTAATAATAAGACAAATAATATATATGTATCCAATGAAAACAAATCAAGACTCACATACTCGAATAGTCATTTAACTGTTAGAGCTTTCTGCCTTTTATGGCTCTTCAAGCAGTGACAAATTTAACTGTCTGAAGTTAAATAGTTAAAATAACTATTTGACTCTTTTGAATCTTGATTTTTTTTCATTGGATACATATAAAATTATTTTTGGTTATGCCTTCCCCTCATGCTCCTCCGACTGAAATTGCTTCCTACGGTCCTGTAACTTACTATCATACTTATGATAAAAAAATACAATGAAAAATTAAGTTCGCCATTTTTTCAAATGGACATTTCAGTATAAAACATGAAATCAAAACAAATCCGCCTATAAGTGAGAATTAAAGTCTCTTTCAAACATTTTCTCATTTTATTTCCTTTATAAGGTAAACTCTGCATGTCATTGTCAAAGATGTTAATAAACCTGGAATTTACACAAAAATCCAGTTTAATTTTAAAACAATTGCCTGGTCTTTGCATGTGTGTTTATCTAATTTTAAATGTGATATTGTACATTTCTTGCCATGGCCTTAATGCCTAGATTCACGTACAAAAATGGCCTTGTTTACTACAATAGAAAATTCATCAAGTTTTGTCGGGCCATGTGAAACACGTGCACTGATAAAATGTTATACAGTTATAGACTAGGTATGAGGGCAACATATGATTTGATGGACCTGAAGATGAAAATGTTGCCCGAGGCTGCAGGCCAAGGGCAACATTTTTTTACCTTTAGGTCCAACAAATTATATGTTGCCTTAATCCAAGTCTATAACTGTTTTGTTATACCCTTTAGTGCTCACGTACGATATAATCAACACACTATATTATCAATTACTTTATATGGAATATTATGGCTTAATCAGTAAATATAAAACAATAGCCGAGAAAGAGCAAAATTAATTATATTTTTATTACATCACAAAAATTATTTAGCACAAAACACTCTTCCCTTCTTCTTACCTTGCTGGTAGCAACAATATCTTGCAGCTCTTTTAAAACTTCGGCTATTTCCGTGTCGCCGATATTTAACGACGATTAAAAACTTGAGAAGTAGCAGTGACGTTGCGGTTTAACAATTCTTCTGTTGGACTACCAGGCCGGTTAACAGTGAAATTGTTAGACCGATTGTAAAAAACATTTCTTTTGTTGGACTTGTTATTAGTAATAAAAATATAGAAAGCTTTTTATAAGGGTATAACAATAAAGCTTGCTGTATATATTGAAGCATATCTAATCTAGATAGTC